TAAGTTTTCAGTTTCCTTACCAATGTTGGGTTAACAGTTGAGACTTAAGACTTAAGTTTTAATTTAATTTCTGATGTCAGTTCTTACTGACAGTTATTCCACTCAAGTGTTTTAATTTATGAAACAAGGATAAAAACTATTTTTGAATCATGTTTATGTATTACCTAAAAACATTTAGGCATTTCTGGCAAAGCAATTCTTGGTCAAGAGCCTCATTCTGCAATACATGGCACTTGGAGGCACTAGTTTTACTTTTCTATTAACAAAGAAGAAATATTCCAAGAAGACATTAACTAAGAGGAAATATTAACCAAGAAGAAATTAACCACGAAATAGCACTCCCTCAAAGACAAAATACAACTTTAAATTGTTGAAATATTGTTATCAATCTGGTTCAGTGACTCAAAATTAACCCTCATGAGTCTTTATATAGGTAAAATGGGAATACTTATTCTTCCTCAAGTGCGGAAGAAGGTCTTTGCAGCTTAAGTAATGCACTAAGCAACTGCACTAAGGAAGTGCCTTAAGCATTTCATCTAGCTGAAGGCTTGGTTTCCTGCCCTTAACTTACTTTATGTATGCATTGGAGTTTTATCTAGTGCCATCAAAACTGTGATAGCGAAGTGTCCATGTGCACACACGTACGTGTTAGCAATTCAGTGAAGTAGCTTACACTCATTTATGCACAAGTTTATAAGTTGAGATCTTACAACTCAGTTCTTAATAAAACTCATAAAACCATGGTATTTGTGTTGTTAGTTACCAGCAAACAGACAAATAAGTAAATAAAGGATACCCCTTCTTCAGATCTGTGCTTAAACTTGATTTTGCCATAAACATACAGACTCTCGTTTAAAAGGCAAGAATGATTTCCTCTTCCGACTGTGCTATTCTGACAAGGATGTATAATGTCTGAAATGGAAAGATGTAAATCTTGGAAATGTCATGGTTCATCCCATTGAAAATAGAATCATAGAATCATAGAATGGTTAGGGTTGGAAGGGACCTCAAAGATCATCTAGTTCCAACCCTCCTGCCATGGGCAGGGAAATCCTCCACTACACCAGGTTGCCCAAAGCCTCATCTAACCTGGCCTTGAACACTTCCAGGGATGGGGCATCCACAACTTCTCTGGGCAACCTGTTCCAGTACCTCATCATCCTCAATGTAAAGAATTTCTTTCTTATATCTAACCTAAATCTGCCCTCTTTCAGTTTAAATCCATTGCCTCTTGTCCTATCATTACACACCCTTGTGAAAAGTCCCTCTCCAGCTTTCCTGTAGGCCCCCTTTAGGTACTGGAAAGCTGCAATAAGATCACCCTGGAGCCTTCTCTTCTCCAGGCTGAACAACCCCAACTCTCTCAGCCTGTCTTCATAGCAGAGATGCTCCAGCCCTCAGATCATTTTTGTGGCCCTCCTCTGGACCTGCTTCAACAGCTCCGTGTCCTTCTTTTGGGCAACCTGGTGTAGTGGAGGGTTTCCGTGTCCATGGCAGGGAGGTTGGAACTAGATGATCTTTGAGGTCCCTTCCAACCCAAACCATTCTATGATTCTGTGATTCTTACGTTGGGGACCCCAGAGCTGAATGCGCTATTCCAGGTGAGGTCTCACGAGAGCAGAGTAGAGGGGGAGAATCACCTCCCTCAACCTGCTGGCCACGCTTCTTTGGATGCAGCCCAGGATACAGTTGGTTTTCTGGGCTGCCAGCGCACATTGCCGGCTCATGTTGAGCCTTCTCATCCACCAGCACTCCCACGTCCTTTTCCTCAGGGCCGCTCTCAATCCATTCTCTGCCTAGCCTGTACTTGTGCTTGGAACTGCCCCAACTCACGTGCAGGACCTTGCACTTGGCCTTGTTGAACTTCATGAGGTTCTCACAGGCCCACCTCTCCAGCCTATCAAGGTCCCTCTGGATGGCATCCCTTCCCTCTAGCACCACACAACTTGGTGTCATCTGCAAACTTGCTGAGGGTGCACTCGATCCCTCTGTCCATGTCACCAACAAAGATGTTAAACAGCACTGGAACCAGTGCTGACCCCTGAGGAACACCACGCGTCACTGGTCTTCACTTGGACCTCGAGCCATTGACTGCAACTCTTTGAGTGTGATCATCCAGCCAGTTCCTCATCCACTGAGTAGCCCATGTGTCAAATCCATGTCTCTCTAATTTAGAAACAAGGATGTTGTGCAGGACAGTATCAAATGCTTTGGACAAGTCCAGGTAGATGTCATCAGTTGCTCTTTCCTTATCCACTAACACTATAACTCCATCATAGAAGGCCACCAAATTTGTCAGGCACCATTTGCCCTTAGCGAAGCCATATGGCTGTCATCAGTCACCTTTTTTTCCACGTGCCTTAGCACAGTTTCCAGGTGCACCTGCTCCGTGATCTTGTCAGGCACAGAGGTGAGACTGACCGACGTAGTTCCCTGGGTCTTCCTTTTTTCTGTTTTTGAAAACGGGGGCTATATTTCCCATTTTCTGGTCGGTGGGAACTTCACCAGACTGCCATAACTTCTCAAATATGATGGATAGTGGCTTAGCAATTTCATCTGCCCGATCCCTCAGGAGCTGCAGATGCATCTCATCAGGTCCCATGGACTTGTACATGGACTTTCAGGTTCCTTAGATGGTCTCAAACCTCTTCTCCTACAGTGGGTGGTTCTTCATTCTCCCCGTTCCTGCCTTTGCCTTCTGTGACTTGGGCAGTGCAGCTAGAGTTCTTGCAGTGAAGAATGAGGCAAAAGAGTCACTGAGTACCTCAGCCTTTTTCATATCCCAGGTAACTAGGTCTCCCATTTCCGCTTGGAGAGGGCCCCCATTTTCCCTAGTCCTCCTTTAATCACTAACATACCTATAGAAACTTTTCTTGTTGCACTTGATGTCCCTGGCCAGATTTAATTCTATCCGGGCTTTACCTTTCCTAAACTGATCCCTGGTTGCTTGGGTTTCTCTGTACTCTTCCCAGGCTACCTGTCCTTGCTTCCACCCTCTGTAGGCTTCCTTTTTGTGTTTGGGTTGGTCCAGGAGCTCCTTGTTCATCCATGTTGGCCTCCTGGTGGTTTTGCCTGACTTCCTCTTTCTTGAGATGCACTGCTCCTGAGCTTGGAGGGGGTGATTCTTGAATATTAATCAGCTTTCTTGGGCCCCTCTTCCCTCCAGGGCTTTCTCCCATCATACTCTTCCAAGCAGATCTCTGAGAAGGCTGAGGTCTCTTCTTCAGAAGTCCAGGGTAGTGAGCTTGCTGATCACCCTCTTTGCCACTCTAATGATCTTGAACTTCATCCATGGTCACTGCGGACAAGGCTGCCCTTGAGCTTCACATTCCCCATCAGCCCCTTCTTGTTGGTGAGAACAAGGTCCAGCATGGCACCTCTCCTCTTTGGTTGCTCTATCACTTGGAGAAGGAAGCTATCATTAATTCCAGGAACCTCTTGGATTGCTTATGCCCTGTTGTCTCTCCAGCTGATATCGAGGTGGTTGAAGTCCCCCAGGAGGACCAGGGCTCGTGAATGTGATGAGGCTGCTCCTATCTGTGTATAGAGAGACTCATCCAGTCGATCTTCCTGATCAGATGGCCTGTAGCAGACCCCCACTATAATGTCACCTGTCCCTGCCCTGCCTTTAATCCTGACCCATAAACTCTCAGTCGGCTCCTTAGCTGTCCCCAGGTGGACTCACCACTGCTGTCTTGTACCAGGGAAAGGCTCTGGCACTCCCTGCAGCCTGAGGCCTGGACAGCTGCGTGTTTTATTGGGAGCTCTGTCTGCGTTGCCACATCCCTTCTGCTGAGTGCAGAGGACTTGGACTTCCGCTAGATGGACACCATAGATGGGCTCTTTCTGAGAGAGTGACAGCCAGCAGCTAAACTTACTTAAATTACTTACTTAAATTACTCCAAACTCCAGTCACTGCATGTTGCCTGACAGCAGATATGAGTCATGCATTAGTTAACTCTGGTCTGAAAATTCTTTTTAAATAAATGTTTCCATGAAGAATTTCAAAACAAAACTGTGTGGAGTTTGATCCTCAGGGGGTTGTTTTGACAAAACAAATAGTAACTGTTTAATTTTTTTTTTGATAGTACCAATTCTAATAGAGTGAACATTTATGGGATTAGTTTTAGTTCCTATTTTTCAGAACTATTTTTACAACTTTGAAAAGTTGATGAGTGGCAAAAGGAGAAATATTGCTCTATTTCTCTGTAGTTTTCCAGAATGCTTTTCCAAAAGAGTGGAGAAAGACCTGAAGCTACAGGAAAAAAAATCTTAGTTAAGCAGATACAACTTCATTGACTACATGATCTTTAAAGGTCACTTCCAACCCAAACCATTCTATGATGCTGTGAAAATAGGCATAGCATTGTGAAGTTACTACTTAAGTAATTGTCATGTTTTCTATGGAGCACTGATATGAACTAAACCATTTTTTTAGACATAAAGCACAGTAAGTATCTTTAATTTTTATTTCACAGAATATCCTCTATTTTGTCATCTAAAAACTATAGTTAACAGCTTCACTTTTTTGAGTATTTTTTTCTCTTGCGTAGACATACTTTGTAACTTTGAAAAGTAGTGTTTGCCTTGTAACAACAGAAAACGTTCTTTTAATTTTTATGCAACCCATTTAGTGTATAGTTCGCTGTATAGCACAGATTCAGTGGAACTGTAAGCCTTCAAACTTGGATTGGATTGAATTCTACTCTGCTGTTGAAATAAAACTGTTCTTGCACATGCATGAACAGCAAATTGTAGTTTTCTTTCATACCTCCAGAGTTAAATTTTCCCTAGTCTTGCTATTATATATTTCAGTTAACTTGTGCATATTGCGTGGTGGTGAATCATTGGGCTCTTGTTTGTGTGCGTGCACCAGTTCTTACCATTTTTCCCATTATGTCTCTTCTAGAATCAGTGGGTTTCTCTCAGGGGTGTGGAGGAAACACATGCTTATATAAGTCCAGTCCAATATCTTTAAGCAAAATCTAGGAAAAAAACTAGCAATTGTGTAGCTCTATTTCAGACTAAGAACAGAGAAGAAATACGTGTTGGACGGTGTCACGGTTTAGCCCAGCCAGTAGCTAAGCAACCACGCTGCCGCTCGCTCACTCCTTCCTCTTGGTGGGGTGGGAGGAGAAAATCAGAAGAAAAGCATAAAACTCATCAGTTGGGATAAGGACAGTTTAATAGAACAGTGCAAAAAAAAAGAAAAAAAAAAAGAGAAAAGAGTAATAACAACGATAATATTAATGAAAAGAGCAAGTACAGAAGAGCAGTACACATGCTCACCACGTGGAACCTGGAAGCCCAACCTGCTCGCGATTGGCGAAGATGCGAAAAAGCCCCTCCCTCAGCTAGCTCCCCTAATATGTATTATCCAGGCATGACATCATATGGTATCGAATAGCCCTCTGACTAATTCAAGTCAACTACCCATGCTGGCCCCTCCCAGTTTTCCTGTGAAAGGTTAACTCTGTCCCAGCCAAATCCAGGACAGACAGGTATTGCTATTGGTTATTCACAGTACAAAAGATTTGAGAGGCAACATTAAAAGCAGTTATGTTCCTTGAAATTCTTGCCAGCTCTGTGTTTTATTGTTACGTGCAATGCAAATAGTGGTAAAACTACCTGAATAGAGTAGATACTCTTTTGTTAATGTCTTTACCAATGGCATATAGTTTTCTGAGTGCATGATATGAGACTCGTGACTGTTCATAACTCTAAATATTGCTTTATTTGAGGAGGTAAAAAGGTGGATTCGAGGGCTTGTTTTGGGAAGCTTTTTCTGTTACGAAACCAGGTGTCGTCTTATTTTTTGTTGAGCCAGAAATTGCAGACATGGTGGGAAACTACTGCAAGGTTGTTTTTTATTTTATTTTATTTGAAGTTTACTGATTTTTAGTGGAAAAAATACCAAATAATTAATTCATGAAGTTATGCGCAATTGTGGATCATAATGGAGATATCGTAATCAGATATTTAATGCCTACTTGCAGCTAGATGCACTCTTTCTTACTTCTTATTGCCAACATGTTATGGCTAACAAGGAAAATTTCATGTTTCTTTGCTTAAGAAATCTGCCTTTTATGTACCTCTTGATAATAGCAAGTTATTTCAGTATTGAGGCATACTGCATATTCTAACAAACTTACGTATAGTGTTATTGTTGCAAGGCAGTAGTTTTAGGAAGGCTGGAACACACTAATGAACTTTCATCTACTGTACATGCACTGGAAACAGACTAACTCGAATATTTGTCAAAATAAAATCTGTGTGAAGAGTTGGACCCAATGTGCAATGCTGTGAAGAACTGAGTAGCACAGTCTCACTGAGGGTAAAAGTCTTCAGCCCTTCATTGTATGCGACAGTGGCCAGAGGTTGTTGCCTAGGATGAGCATCAGACCAGATAAATGCAGTGATACTTCCCCCACTGTTTCCCTTCTGCTTCCAACTTCAGGGAATTACAGTATGTAATCCTTCTGTGATCTTACGCAAATAGCTTAGTTGTCCGTTTCTGCCAGGCTCAGCTTTCTTCTTGTATTTGGCTACTAGCCTGCTTCACAGGGACATTTTAAACATTTTTAAAACCTTTGGAGAGTAAGAGTTGTTGTATAAATATGTACTGTTATTGATTCCATCTGTTGGCTACTTCGAAAGAGAAAAACTACTTCCTGGTAGTGGCAGAATGTCTTTACTCTCTTAAGCATTGTATTTTAGTTTTGTACTGTTCAGATGTCATTTGGATCATGATACGTATAAATCCAAAAGGTATGATTGACTAGGCAAACTGTGGGGCAGTCTGAAATGTGGATTCTGATACCCTTTAATTTGCCGTGTAGTCCTGTTGATAGAACAATGATTGCTTACTGAAGTTGGTAATGGTGAAGATAGAAACGAAACTACTTGTTTCAAACTCTTTCAATAATCACTTCTCAAAATGTTACACAGGCTAAGAGTCTCACTCCTCAGGACTACAATCTGAGATGGTCAGGCCTGTTGGTGACCGTGGGCGAAGTGCTTGAGAAGAGTATACTGAATGTCAACAGGACTGATTGGCACCTGGTATTCACTGGCATGTCCCGTCGACAGATGATCTACAGTGCAGCGAAGGCTCTAGCCGGAATGTACAAACAACACCTGCCACCCAGGACTGTTTGAAAGAAGGCTGATCCATGACACTAAGGAATACTGATTTTGATTCTAGAATTGAAGTGAAAGCTACATATTCTTATTCTCAGTGGATACGACACGATTTGTAATCTAACTTTAAACTGTATTTTATTTTTTAAGAAGTGAAGGTAATTTCCAATGGTGGACATGAGCAATTGCAATTATTAACTACTATATGATTTCCAGTATGATTCACAAAACAGGAAATCAGAGCAAACATATATTTATAACTGGGACAAATAGCATAACAGTTTGTAAAGTGGAATATGCTATTATTTGACACCTTTCTAGGCATTTGCTGAGATATTTTCGTTAGCATACTTTTTCAAAGATGGAGTTAATTGTTTAGCTTTTTCTATTATATTGGTAATATAAACACGTTGACAGCATAACATGTATGTTATATATGCATTTCAATCCAGAGGGACTACCTTCTGTGTTAGATGTTTTCCTGGGGCCTGTGCTTAGGTGGTACTTAACACCTCGTAGGTTTGGTGTTTGTATATAAAGTTCTCAGGAGTGATGCTGAGTAGTGTTTACAACACGTAACAGTGAGCTGCTGAAGAAGAGCACAAATCTATGCCCCATTAACTGAAGTTGTTGCTAAATAATTTTGAAATCTCATTTTCCATGCTGCATCTTTTTTCTTTTTATGTAATGGTAATGAAATTCATGTCCAATGAATTTGCCAGCTAGGCAAATCTGAAGTTGCCTCAGTGGGTTTTAGGTCAGGAACCAGATATGCGTGAAACTGTCGTAGCAGTTTCAACAACACAATTTACTCCAGTGCTTCCAAACTTCATATTTTATATGGAATTATGTAATTTCTTCTATCAACTTGTGGTTGTCAGCAATTTGATGTGGAAAGTGGTAAGATATGTATCACTTAATTTGCGATCTTGGGTTTTCTAAACATTTTTAAGTCTTAAATACTTTCTTGATGTCATGAACTCACTGTTTCTCATAGAAGTTCTTCGGTGGTGCCTAATATTTTTTCACGGCTGTAAATGCCCTCTATCCATGCTCACACAATCTTAAATCTTTATTTAGAAATATGGAAGTAATTGTGAAGAGATTATTTTGGTAATAATACTATTTTTAAGAAACAAAGAATAAACAAATACTTTTTATTTGCCTTAAAGAAGCTGGTTTTCAACTTATATTGCTCTGCCTTTGCCTTTCTTAGGTGCTTTCAGAGGACATTTTTGTATACAATATGCTGTTAAGCCAGCTCATATTTGTACCCAGTGAAAGCCTGTCTATTTCCAAGTAATATATTTCGACTTAATTGGCTCACTCTGTAAATTAGTTGAATAAATGTTTTTCCTGGAGGATTGTATCTATTTTGAAGATTTATTTTTCAATATAGCCGATGAACCGTCTGTTTATTGAAATTATATTTACATGGTCAATCCAAAAATTTGGCACATAACTTAAATGCCTGTCTTGTCTGAAAAACAAGAAAACAAACAGAACCTGCCTCTTGCAGGCTTCAGGCCTCTTGTTAGGAAAACTTTTTTGTATCATAAACTAAAAGGATGATAACAGGGACTTCTGTTTGTCATCGTTCAGTAAAGGCATCTTTGCTTTTACTGTAGTTTCAGTTTGCACTGTATGATATGTCGCATGCTGCCCTTTTATTCCCTGCTTACAGCATCCTCCGTGATGTAAAGGAAGAGGACATGAAATCATCAGTAGGTTTATGTGCCGTGGAATGAGTTAAAACTAAAGAGGAATTTCATTTTCTTTCTCCCTTTCTTGGCCGTGGCCTTCACTGCTTTTCAGGGGTGATAAGAGTGGAGGCAGAAGACGGCTTCTCATTTTGCAGCACCTGATTCATTGTGGTGACATTGGCCTAGCATTCCAAATATCTTACGAGGCTGCTAATGTGGCATACTCCAAGGCTGCCCTGGCCTGCTTTAGAGAATTTTTACATCTCTATTCTGCTGTAGAAATTTGCTTTCTTTATGTTAAAATGAGAACAACTGCCTGCTCTTCTCTCTGTGTACTTTCTCTTCGTGGTTGGGTGCTGGGATATGACGTTGTCAAGTGAAACAGTCTTTCTCCATTCAAAATCTCTGGCTTGATGAAGTTCTTTTGATGTAGTTTTAACTGCATACCCAAGAGTTAAAATGGCTCAATTTGATAATTTCGATTAGTGCCCTCTATTTACTGAACATTGCTTGTTTATGTAAAAAATAAAAAAATCCTCACATAAAAGGATTTTATGTGAGGAAAGACATTTTATGTGTACACATTTTATGTGTACAAAAGAAGCTCAGCTTCTTCCCTGACAGGCCAAGGAAAGGAAAAATGTCTGCAGTATGCTCTGGAAAGCTAATAAAGTTTGAAATTACTTCCTGTTTGAGTGAAGGCCCTTTCAGGGTGTGAGTTGCGATTGGTGTGGATGAATTCTGGAGCAAGTTAAGATAACGTTTTTACCATCTGCTGGGTCGCGTTGTGGGCAATAGTAGGACAGGAAGATCAACAGGTAGTACACTGACATCCTGTGTTAAATTTATATTGAAATCAACTCCGAAAAGCAGGTGTCAGAACACATTTGGACATGTAAAGACACTTCTCAACTGCTAGTCACTGTAGATACAGCTGCAGAAGCCATTTCTGCTGCTTTATGAATGGATAAGTTTGCTCAAATATGAGTGCTACAAACAGAAGATCGGGAAGGCTCCCAGATTTCAAGATAGAGGATGTGGAAGATTGCTGAAAACTGCCCTGGGGATACGTCCACAAGGATGGGAGACCCGCTATATTAGTTGCTGTGTTTTTTTTCCACGTTTGGAATCACTGTTCTAGTTGTTTTGTTTACTGTATCTTTTGTAGCAACTGGTACTGAATGCAATTTTTCCGTGACCGTGGTATTGTTCAGTACTCATGATGTTTTGGAGGTACGTGCCTCAGCAAGGAAATACACGTTGATAAACAACATTATAAAAAGAACGTAATTTGGCCTGACCAGCTTCTATTGTAGCTGTTGCCTCGCTGGAGTCAAACGTAACAGCACCGTAGCTGGAAAGGAGCAGAAGGCCAGGCTGTGGGAGATGGTTTGCTACTGTAGGTAAGCCAAAGCGTAGTGATAACTGCATGCCTTGCTGTGGTCTTGGTGGCACTGATTGTTTTTGGGGCACGTCTTTATAATGGTGCTGTAATTTCACTCAGTGCCAGCATGTGGTCAGTTCAGTTCCTTGGGGCTGGAATGTGACAGATGATTGCAACAGTGCTTCTCAGCACTGCTTAATTGCTGTTTCATGAGTCCGAGAAAGATGGACAAAGGATGGGGCATGAGAGGCCTGCGGAAACAGCAAATATAGTTTGGTGAAGCATCTTGATCCAAAATCGAAAGCAAAACAGCCTTGATGACAGCTAATATACTTTCCGGAATGTACTCGTTTAACAAGGGTTTAACACGGGTTTTAGAAATACCTTCCAATACCAATCTTCCTTTCTAGACACCTGCTAAATTTGGGCAAGATAGTGAGCAATGGCAGAAGAGGGCAAAGAAAAGAATGAAGTGTGAAAGCATATGGAAGCAATCAGGAGAGTATCAGAGAAGAAGGAACGTCTGGTGAGGAATGGAGGAGAAGGTACAGCAGCTTAATTGTCTTTTATTCAATGCAGGAGATGTTATAGGTTAGTTGAGAAATCAGATGGGAATATGGAATAACTTGGGTATGTCTGCTACTGCTGATTTTGGCCAGCTTGAGAAGAGCACCAAACCATACATGCAAGTCTTGCTATAGAGAGGTTTAGCACAATTGAGGTTCAGTATCTCTGTTTAATGAAGTTTACAAGTTGCCTTTGATGTTTACCCTTGCATGCAGCATAGGGCAGTTTTTTCAGTGAGTGTTTTTAAGTGGGAGGTTTTTGAATAACTTCTGTAAGCATAAACCTGTGAAAATGACAATGTTAGTAGAAATTCTTAAGTATATTTGTAAAAGTAGTGCTTTTTTTCATAGTAGGATGATGTGATGTAAACTTTGCAGATGGAAAATAAGAGTTTACCACTGAACAGTATTCACTCTGAAAGACAGAACTCTGTGGGTCTAGTTTACAATTACGTTAATAATTTTTGACCAAGCAAATATATTAAAAAAAAAAAAGTCTTTCTTTGTTTCCTACTGTTAGCAGACTCTGGTATGAGTAGCAAACGGGAACATTCTGTATCCCATCAAAAGTTGTTAACAGACTTGAAAACGAGAATAAAATAGCTTCAAACTTGTTTAGTTTTCCGATGTGGATTTTAACTTCAACAATGAAGCCTGTCTGTAATCTATCAAGGACTCACATTTTGACATCCTGAATTTTGGAACCCTTTGGCTTTGACTTTATGGCTCTGTTCCATCCATAGTTATACAATTAAGGAAAAACTGTTCACATAAAAGTAATGGTGTACAGAGCTACAGTTCCTAAAAGGAAAAAATGCCAATTGGTTTGATTTATTGCTTCATTGTGCAGAATTCTGTCAAAGCTTTAGATATTCCAGACAGTTCACTTTGTAAAGCAGCCAGACTATGACCTGGCAAATAAATTGTGAATACACAGTGCTGCAGAGGAATAACAGATCCAAAACCACTCAGCTGCTGCTTCTGAGCTAATGCAGTGTTTTTTCTTACACTGGAATCAAAAGTAGGTGTAGCTTTAAAAGGGTTAAAGGCAAATATAAAATATTTCGTGTTGAGAAAGTGATTTCCAGCTACCTTTGCATTCTACAAGTGTGAGTGAATGTAGCCATGGACTTCCCTGTGAAATAGGGAAGTACCTCTATAGTAGAGAGGAGAGCAGATGAGTTGGTTTTCCAAGGCTGTGTTGGCTTTCTTGAATACAAAATTCCACATAATTCTGTATTATGTCTGAGTTTTTTGGTATTAATCACAAAAAATCCTGTAAAAGTATGCTCTGCGATGGGAATGAAAGTGAGGTGGGTTTTTTTTATTGTTTCCTGAGATCTGGTACTAGAAATTTTGCATCAAGACTTTCAAACTTCTTTTAATCTGTTTTTCTCCGATCAATGCGAGCA